CTTCTTGCTTCTCTCTCGTCAATCTCTTCCTTCTTTCGTCTCTCAGGGTCTCGGGACTATATTCATTTTCGCTCCGCATCTCTCTCTCAATCTCCTCAGTTCATCCTTCTCCGTCTTCTCAATCTCTCGTTCATCTCTCTCATCCCATTTTCTCTCTTTCACTCTCTCTCACTCCTCGTGTCGTCAGTCTCCTCTCACTTCTCTCTCTCTATCTCCCCCTCTATCATCCTTCCCTAATAACCTTCTCTCTCTCTACTTAGTCATTCTCTCTCTCACACTCTCTCTATCTCTCTCACATCCTTCTCTCTCTCTCTCCNATTATTATTACTGTATTATTATATGATGATTATTTTTTATTTTTTTATTATTATTTTTACAATCGGCTGTGCTATTGGTTTTCAAATCTTAAAAGAAATAAAAGGAAGAAAAATAAAAAACTAGAAAGTTTAGGGTGCTTACTTATTTTTTGATAAGTACCACTTATAAAATATATATTACCCAGTGCTTTGGGATAAGTCGGATAAGTAGATGCACCGTAGATTATCTTGTCTGATATCGTTATCATTATTCTTGTATTGTCAATGCGAACACGGCCATTTAATCTCGCTATTAGAGCTGATATCACTTTTACACTAATTTGCTTCAATTAATCTAATCATGTGGATATGCTTAGTACAAGAATTTGTGTCTTTATTGTTTCGTTATCATTAATCAGCTGTGCAGCCTACAGAGTGACGGTTAGTGAGTTTGAACGTCCCTCTTGAATCGCCTTGAAGCACGCTGTGTATGTTAATGAGTGTGATCTCCGCCCTGGTCATGTGACAGTGCCAAAAAGGACTCGTGAGTGACGGGGCTTGAGTCATATCCTGCACGTGAGTCCTTCGCCCCCGCCGCGCACTCGCTGCCTTGGCGCCCTGTTGCTGCCTCCTTCGTGTCCTCTTTGTATCTGTTCTGGTGCCTGTGTTGGTCTGTTTGTCTGCCCGTCTGTGGTGAGCTGTTTCTCTCTTTCTCTTCTCTCTCTCTCTTTTTTCTCTCTCTCTCTCTTTCTCTCTCTCTTTCTCTCGCTCTTTCTCTCTCTCTTTCTCTCTCTTTCTCTCTCTCTTTCTCTCTCTCTCTCTCTCTCTTTCTCTCTCTCTTTCTCTCTCCTCTCTCTCTCTCTTTCTCTCTTCTTCTTCTCTTTCTCTCTCTTTCTCTCTCTCTTTCTCTCTCTTTCTCTCTCTTTCTCTCTTTCTCTCTTTCTCTATTTCTTTCTCTATTTCTCTCTCTCTCTTTTTCCCTCTTTTTTTTTTTTTTTTCTCTCTTAGTTTCTGAAACGTATGGGTTGTGGGTTGGCCATGCTTATGGCTTCAGTGGCGATGCAGAGATTTACCAACACTGATTAGGACTTCTTCGGTCGCTACTACTTTGTTTTGTTTGGTGGATGGCACTTTTTTGTCAACCGCAGCTAAAGATGGTAGGAAAAGGAAAAATTTCTGGTAAGATATTTATTTATTTATTTATTTTTTTTGTTACTAGAAATAATGATGTACCATTTATTATTAATAAGAAAATTTGATTGGTACCAGCAATGCTCTGTGGTAGTGAGAATACGTTGAGTGGAAGCGCAAAGGCCGCGGGAAAACAGGATAAACTTTATATCAAACAACTTTTAAGTATTAAAAGTCAACAAATGTGTTTGATGGAAATGGGTTTGCCTCCAGTGCAGGCATTGATTGCTGACGGACACTTAACGCATGCAGTGCTGTTTATACTTGGTATTAGTGATTCCTCGTCTAGATTTATAAGAGATTTTATAGCCGGTGATGTTAATTAAAAGTATAGAGGAGATTTGATACGGACTGCATACAAAGATTAGGAATTTTACGTCAAGTAGACTAATCTTTTGTAAACTGAGCTGAACTGAAAGTTAATTGAAATTCAGCATATGGAACTTTACGTCAAGTAGACTAATCTTTTGTAAACTGAACATATGAAAGGGTGAAAGTGAAATGAACAGCATATCTCTTCGGCTAGACTGCGAGTGAGCGTTCACTTCCTCGCACTGAAAGGGAGCGCTGCAACCGGCGCGGGAAGGAACGTGACCACTGGAATTGACCAGGTGTTGCGTTTGAACAATCTGTGACTTAGTGTGCCTTTTCGTTCACAAATTACTGTGTATTAGAGTGGGTTTGTTATTATTATATTTTTTTTTTTATACAATCTGGTTTGTGATTTTTTTTTTTTTTTTTACATATTACAAAGTAACGCACCAAGTAAATAACAGTCAGTTGATGAGACTAAAATAAAACAAAAATGTATAATAGATAACGGTAAAAACATTAATAAACCCAATGTAATACACAAGACGGGACAAAAACATTAATAAACACATTGTATTATACAAGACGTGACGCATCTATCCAGCAATAATTTGAAATATAGTGAATTGAACTTGGAGTAGCTATATATAGTAATAAAATAATGTAAATGAACGTTTGGGAGAAGAAAGATATTAATTTATCCTATTTACGGCATGAAATCCTTTAAAGTTGGTGAACAGAAGATTATACAAGTAAAAGCAATAGTTAAATAAAAATGTATCATAATTAACGGAATAGGAGGACTAAATACGAAGTTCTCTGCAGTGAAAAAAGGTTGACTGATATACTAATATTTTACCATACAGACTATTTATAATAAAAAACATGTAAATAAGCATTTCGGAGAGGAAAAATGCCCACTTCATGTTGTTTAAAAAAAAATAAAAAAAAAAAACAGTAAAGCTGGTGAACAAAATATGCAAATGAAATTTGGAAATAAAACTTTCTAAATCGAAAATGCAACTTATTACTAAAATCTTTGTATGAAATCGTACTCATAATCACGTTTTTTTTTTTTCAAGGTTAATTGCACGACAGCAAATGCTGTTTAAGTTTCCTTTTAACTCGTGTCAAGGTGACCTATTTCCCTTATTGCTAAAGGCCTATTGTTCCATGCTTTAGTTTGTCATGAAACATTGTACGTGATTTTGACAAAATCTAACTGAATTAAGGCATATCTATCAATCTACAGTTTCTTAGGTTCTGATTAACATTCCGAAACCTAAGCAGTCCATTTTGTGATTGATGAACAGATGTGAAAACACTGTGGAAGTCGGTGAGGGTCTTGTTAGCTGAGTAATACCACTTTAGAATGATTGTTTCGTATGTGATACAATGCAGATTATGGTAGAGTCTTGTGTTAGTGAAATTTTGTTTGGTTTTCTCTTATTTATTTGGTGGTCAAATAGTAGATGGTTTAAACGGAGGAAATGCTTGTTTGTGTTGAAAATTATGTAGTGGGACTCATTGCTGTTCATTTGTTGGGTGATGTCCAGTTATTGATGTTTTACCAGTTCAGTTACTAGCCAATTTAATAATTTAGTTTTATGGTTTCTCCAGATATACGTTAATGTTATTGTTAACAAATAGCACGTATAGAAATGGTTGCACTTAATGAGATCATTTATATATAGTGTAAAAAAAATAAAAATAAAATAAACAGGACCAAGTATGGACTGCTGAGGGACTCTTATTTTAACTACAATAACGAGGACTTTTTATAAATATGGTTAGAGTATTGACCTCGATTGTCTAAGTAAGAGTTGAACCTACTTATATATCCTCTAACACCACAATGGTTGAGTTTTCCTAAAAGAGTTGAATGGTGTACCGCGTCAATTTTTTTTTTTTCTTTATCCAGACAAAGGGTAAAATGTGTCCTAACAAACGCCTTATAGATATGATTTGTAGCACTAATAGCATCTACTTTTGAAGCATATTTTAGACCCCACCCTGAAATTTGGATATATTTAGGTCACAAAAATCTAGATGCCTTTTACAGACTTTCTTTTTCCGAGTTGCCAAATGCAAATAATGTTTTAATATCGGTCTGAAAACCTGCATTAAGCTCTTTATTTCCTGATTTCAACAACGGAAGAAATCTAGATATCCGTAGACTAGGAAATATTCCCGATCTTAGTCGACAGGTAATGAGACGAGTTTTTATAGGGTAGGATAACAGTGATCCTGTCTCTCTAATCAACTTCATAGAGCTCAGTGAAGGCCTTTTCGACGTTATGGGAGGACATTCTACACACTCCCTATTTTTTGCAAGCGTGTTGGATTCTATTTGCTAACGTCTTGCCAACAATTGTAAAGTGTGAGTTAAGGTAGTTCGCTATGGCCAAGCGATCCGTCCGAATGCTTTATCAGTAGTGATGTGTGATGGGGAATCTTCGATCTTCTTACAAGGATTTCATTTCACACTGTAGATTACTTTGCTGCTTCCGACACATCCGTTAAACTGCTCAGGATAATAATTTTATGACACTGAATTATTCACGTTATATCATTGCGGATTTTGCGATATCCAGCTTGAGTAATGGGCCATTTTGATTTATTTAGTTTTTTTCCTGCTCTAAGATTTTCAGTGACTTGTAATCTAAGACTTATTTAACGTCGTTTGTTACAGCGTATTTATACTTTAAGGGGAAAACCTTCCTGGGGAAAGCATTGAAAAGAAACGAAAAGTTATGACAAGCAACATTTGCTCCATGAAATTCTTTCAATCATTTTCTGAAAGTTTTCTATATTCGTCACTGTCAGTGGTATTTGTAGCATATTCGTTTTAGGCAGGAATTGGAAAAGGGATCTGATTTGACACAAGATGCTCCCCTCGTCACAAAATCGCCAAATTAATGACTCGTATAAGGTCATTCTGTTGTGGTTATTTCACGCGTTGGTGTTAAAATAGAATTTCGAATTCAGCAGTGATGTAAAATATACATTTCATTAGTTTGTCTGTCAGAGAGAGAGAGAGAGAGAGAGAGAGAGAGAGTGTGTGTGCGCGGGTGTGCTTGCGTGCGTTGTCTGTCTTGTTTTCTTCTTCCCCTTCCCTGTATCTCTCTCTCCCTGCTCCCTTCTCCTGATATATTCCCTCCATTTTTAATTTGTCTTGGTTTTTATTTCCTCGCTCGGCCCATGACAGTCCCTTCCTCCCCAGGTCGACGGAAGTGTCCCGCAATATGGGTAAATACGACTACTCGGTGCTGTGCCGCCACTGCGACGAGGAGACGCCGGACCCGGTCCCGTGCCAGCTGTCAGGTCAGTCAGTCCTGTCACTTTAGGCTTCGTGCTTCGGTAGAGTGTGGTTGCGCATGTTGTTTACGTATCCTTTGTATAGGACGCTTTGGTACCCGTCTCCGGTCGGATCTGTTTTCATTGACTCGGTAGTTTAAAAATATATTTCCCAAACCTTGTTTATAGCCAACATTGGGCAGCGCCCTGCTTCTTCCTCACTTCGGTTTCCTAATATGGTTCTACGCCAGCACGTCGATGTGTCATTATTCCCAACGAGAATTGACATCCCCATCCCTTGTCGGGCCTCGCATCTGCATAGAAGCCATTGCAAGGGACTTCATTCTCTCTCCTTCCGTGTATCTCATTTTTTATTCGCATAACTATTCCCGAGTCCTTGCCGCTCCGTTATCCACTTCCTGGTAAAGACCCTTACTTGATAGAACCAATTTTTTTCGTATGTTAAATATGTATAACTGTTAGTCCTCCCTTGCGACCTGTCCCTTTAGTTTATCTGACTGTCTCCCTTTCTTCACCTCGGCGATTCCTATCCCCCACTCGAGCTATTCCTATCCCAGATAATTGGTCTCGGCCAAATCGGAGTTTTCTCACCTTGTGGAAAGGTATGAATGAGAACGAATATCTTCACAATACAAAAGATATATTTAACCGGTTTCGATTATATCTTCGTCAGAAATACATCTCTTGTATTGTGAAGATATTCGTTCTCATTCATACCTTTCCACATTTGTCAACATGGACACGGTTCATTTTCTCACCTCCCCTTTTTGTCCCTTTCTTTATCTTAGGAACCCCCCCGGAATGGCTGAAGGGTCGCTTGGTGTACAACGGGCCGGGGCTAACCAAGGTCGGCCAGAACGAGTACCGACACGCTTTCGACGCCTCGGCCATCCTGCAGAAGTGAGTGTTGTCAGAGGGAGAGGGAGGGGGCGGTGTGGGAATCCTGTCTTTGAGAAATAAATGCACATAAATAAACAAGTGTCAAGGAACTGCTTGAGAGTGAGACCCAATAGTTCCGAGTGGCCGTTCCCTGGCTGAGTCCCTCTCCCTGCCGTGTCTCCAGGTTCGAGATCGAGGACGGCCAGGTGAACTACAGCAGCCGCTTCATTCGGTCCAAGACCTACGAGCAGAACCAGGCAGCGGGAGCCATCACCAGAGCCGAATTCGGTACCCCGGCGCCTGCTTCGAAGGGCATGTTCTCAAGGTCAGTAGCAGACCGTCCTGGCTGTCGATCTTTGCCTTGTTTTGTGGTTATCTGGCGTTCGTTCTGGCTCCAAACAAGGGTCTCGGGCCGTCAGCGTCTGCAGCGACTTGGGGTCCTTGGAGGTTGGTCTCGTGGGACAGGAATCGAGGCCGTCTGGGATCCACTCCGCTCGCCCTGTCTGCTGTCATCATGCGAGTCTTCCATCACTTTTGCAATGCCCGCGTCATGATGATCATAAATAATTATCCAAGAGTTAAGGGCGTAATTGTTATTGTTCACGGCCGAGGTCAGAAGCATAAACATTCTCAGTTTTCAGTTCAGGAACGACACAAAGTAGCATGATTGATAACGGTTCTGCCACTCAGAGATACTAATTTCAGGAGGGGCATCAAAACCATCGCCGTCATGCCAGAATTCGGAATAAGATCTGGCACAGCTTCAGTCCTTCCCCGCCGTCGGCCTTGCCAGGAGGATGAACCCATTAATGCTAGAGTTCAAGGTCGATGGCGCTAGCACCAAAGACTCTTCATCCATTCTCCATTTTCCCCTCTCTTCTCCGGGCCTTTCAGCCTCCCCTCTCCCCGAAAACAATCCATTTTCCTTCCCCTCAGATTCCTGGATGCAATGGACCCCGAGAAGATGTTTTCCGACAACGCACTCGTGTCTGTGGTCAACATCGGGCCACAGCACTACGCCATGTGCGAGACGCCCTTCATGCTGCAAGTTAACACGCAGAGCCTAGAGACAGAGGAAAGGGTAAGATGTTATTTTTTTTCTCTTGGTATTTGTAAGAGAGAAAAATAAGTGTAAAAAAATCACTGGTATATGTACTGATTTTTTTTTAAGTGCTTAACCACATCCTTATCTAGATGAATCAATTTCTTTCGGTCAGGACATTAGCGACACAAACATTTTATAGCTGAACGACTCTTATATAAACCACTTGGTTACTATTATGCAAGGGGGGGGGGGAGGGGGGAGGGGCAACATACCGCGGTAAACCTGTAAGTATATATCCAACTTGTTCCTGCTTTGCCTTAGTCTCCCCTTCGTGGTCTCGCTTTGTCTAAACATCCCCTGCGTCTTCATTTTCTTCCATTTGTCTTATACCCCTTTCGTGTTTTATTTTTTTTCGGTTTGTCTTATACCCCTTTCGTTTTTTCCCCGTTTGTTAAAATACTCATTTCGTGTGTATTTTTTCCAGTTGTCTTAATACCCCTTTCGTCTTTTCTTCCAATTTTCTTAATACCCCTTTCGTGTTTATTTTTTCCCTCAGATCAACGTGAACAAGAAGCACGGGCTGATGACGCAGAGCCCCCACCCCATCATAGCCAGCGACGGGGTCTACACGGTGGGACAGGGCGTGGGGGTGACGGGGCCCAAGTACAGCATCCTCAGATACCCCCTGGACGGTAGGCGTGTCTTTGCTCTTCTCGGGGTCTGTCTGTCTGTCTGTCTGTCTGTCTGTCTTTCTCTTTCTTTTTTGATGTCTTTCTCTCGTTCGTTCTCTTTTGATTTTTCTCGTTCATTTTCTTTTAATCTCATTCCCTCTCTTTTCTCTTTTGATCTCTCTCTCTCTCTTTTAATCACTCTCTCTCTCTCTTCTCACTCTCTCTCTCTCTTTTAATCACTCTCTCTCTCTCTCTTTTAATCACTCTCTCTCTCTCTCTTTTAATCACTCTCTCTCTCTCTCTCTCTCTCTCTCTCTCTTTAATCACTCTCTCTCTCTCTCTCTCTCTCTCTTTTAATCATCTCTCTCTCTCTCTCTCTCTCTCTTTAATCATCTCTCTCTCTCTCTCTCTTTTAATCACTCTCTCTCTCTCTCTCATCACTCTCTCTCTCTCTCTCTTTTAATCACTCTCTCTCTCTCTCTCTCTTTTAATCACTCTCTCTCTCTCTCTCTCTTTTAATCACTCTCTCTCTCTCTCTCTCTTTAATCACTCTCTCTCTCTCTCTCTCTCTCTCTCTCTTTTAATCTCTCTCTCTCTCTCTCTCTCTCTCTCTCTCTCTCTCTCTCTCTCTCTCTCTCTCTCTCTCTCTCTCTCTCTCTCTCTCTCTCTCTCTCTCTCTCCCCCTTTCTCTCTTTGTGCATGTGTCTTGTCAATATCTGCGACTCTTTCTTCGTTCTCCCACCTCCGACGTATCAGTTGTCTAATATAGGACGACTTTTCCTTGTGGACAGGTAATTTGAAACAAGGAAAAATCGTGGCATCAGTGCCTGCCAGATGGAGGTTGTCCCCGGCGTACATGCACTCAATGGCCATGACAGAGAATTACGCCATCTTGATCGAGCAGCCTCTGGCCGTGTCCCTCTCCGAGCTCTTGAGTGACATTGTGAGCAACGCGCCTTTTATCGATGGGCTGAAGTGGCACAACGAACCGGTAAGTAAATAGGAGTGGATTGATTTCGCTTTAGTTCAGTTTTCCTAAAAGAAAATGCGCTTGTGGAATACTCGAGAGGGAATTAAAAAAGAGGGCTTTGAATCTTACTTCATGCGTTGTCGTTTCCTCCAGGTGCTCATCCATGTGGTCGACAGACAGACTTGGAAGCACGTGAAGACGAGATACGTGACAGACCCGTTCTTCTTCATGCATGTGGCCAATGCCTATGAGGAAGGCGACCACATCATCATGGATATTCCTACATACAAGGACGCCACAATCCTGCACAACATGTTCATCAGCACACTGAGAGTGAGTAGGGTTTTGTTAATAAAGGATTTGCTCCTCATCCATCCCCCCTCGATGAATTTCGCCGGGGAACGTGTCCAGGACGGGCATTAATCCTCCTCATCCTTGCAGGAACAAAGGGGGAAAAATTCTCCCGAGTTCGTGGAATCCTTCAGGTCCGAGCTGCACCGCCTCGTGGTCCCGGTCAACACCAAGGGGAAGGAGAAGCTCATCACACTCCAGGGAACTTCCTGCACTGCCAACTGGTCAGGCCAAGAGGTAAGAGTCTTTGAGACTTCTTGAAGAAAATGATTATATAGAACAGCTGTTTGGAAACGTCCAGGCCAATCTGTCCATAGAAAACAAATTTGATGTACGCGATATTGCAAACCATAAATTGTGGTTTTCTGAACTTGAACTCATAATTTGTATGAAAGTTCTGTTTAATGCCTGATGAAAGCCTATATCTTTGCAGTATTAATTATTCGGATGAGTTGGTCATCTAGAGGACAGAAGCTGTACAGTTTGAACATTTGAACGATTATAGCCCATATAATATAATTGTAATATATATTATATGATTTAATATAGTCTGATATCCTATAAATTATATGTCTAGTATGATATGACATGATATAGGCTTATTATAAAAAGTATGACATACCAAATGTAATATAACATACGATATATTGATATAATATAATGTACAATATAGAGGAATCTGTATTCAGTAGCATGCAAATAACTGTATCTTTTGTGTGCTTACAAACAATGTATCTTTTGTGTGCTTACAAACAAGGATGATATACACGTAAGTAGTTCTGAGATATTTCACAACCTTAATCTTCTTAGTATTAGTAGCGGCAAAGAGAGAGATTGACCTCAGGAAGGAGGAAGCTGGATTTTAAAAATGTGCATAAACACAAGCCCACGGGCACATGAACAAGCCCAGGCCCGCACACACGCACAAACGTATACGCTTACAAATTGAAGCACGAACACACAAACACAAACGAAAGCACACGAGCGCTCACGGAAAAATCCACGCACAAATACAAACGCACGCGCAAACAAACAAACGAAAGTGCACATGCACACAAAAACAATCACACGCGCGAACAATCACACGCGCACACAAAAACATCACGAACACAAACAATCACACGCAACACAAACAATCACACGCACACAAACAATCACACGCACACACAAACAATCACACGCACACACAATCACACACGCACACAACAATCACACGCACACACAAACAATCACACGCACACACAAACAATCACACGCACACAAACAATCACACGCACACAAATAATCACGCACAATCACACGCACACACACACCACACGCACACACAAACAATCACACGCACACACAAACAATCACACGCACACACAAACAATCACACGCACACACAAACAATCACACGCACACAAACAATCACACGCACACAAACAATCAACACACAACACAAACATCACACACACACACACACAAACAATCACACACACACACACACAACAATCACACCACACACACACAAACAAACACGCACACACACACAAACAATCACACGCACACACAAACAGTCACACGCACACACAAAGAATCACACACACACACACACAAACAATCACACGCACACACACACAAACAATCACACGCACACACAAACAATCACACGCGCACACAAACAATCACACGTGCACATGAAAACAATTACTCCCTCACATACAAAAATAAACACAAACGCAAACGCACGCACACGCAAACGCAAGCCCCCCCCCCCCTCACACACACACACATACACATGAACACACACAGTATATACATTAATTCATTTTAAATCTTTCATATAGAATTAAAAAAAAAAAAAAAATGGGATACCAACTGAGATGATTTGTGGGTGATAAATCGAATTGTGCTCTTATGTTAAAAAAAATATATACATTTCTGACAGTTCAAAACTCTGAAGCACAGATAATTGAGGTACCTTTACCCACACTACTTGAAAGCGATTATACCCCCCCCCTCCCAACAGATCAGGTTAACAAGCGAGAAGCATAGAAACTTGAGGTACTTTTGCCCTTACTTAAAATCACCTGAACTTCTCTCAGGGCCACTCTAGAGACTTCGCATATCTAACTGAACTGATGAACTCCCCAACAGATCAGGTTAACGAGCGAGAAGCTGACGGAGTTTCCAATCGAGAACCCGTGCATCAACCCGAACAAGATGGCCTCCAAGCACAAGTACCTCTGGGCTATGGGGCCTAGTCCTGATGGCGGAGATTCAGGATTTGTAAGTTCAGATTTTTTTGTGGATACTGGGATAATTGAAAGATTTTGAACTTTAAGGCTTTATCTCCTCTTTCCCCTTTCCTCCTTCCCTCATCCTCTTCCTACTCATCCCTCTCCTTTCCTGTGTCCCCCATCCTCTTCCTACTCATCCTTCTCCTTTCCTGTGTCCCCCATCCTCTTCCTACTCATCCTTCCCCCTTCCTCTTCCTACTCCACGTCCTTTTCAAAACCGACTGCACATTTGGACGTTTATTTTTCTGTTATTCAAACACCAATCCGAGCACACTGACACTTGAACATGCATTTATACTCCATTCCTTTACCGTTTGTACTTGACTTATGGAATCAATTTATATATGTAAATTGTAACTGATGCCTGTTTTTTTCCCTCAGGTCATGAAGTTAGATGTAACATCTGGAGAGACCTGGAAGTTCTCCGAGGAGCATATATACTGTGCTGCTCCAGTGTTCATCAGCAGACCAGATGCTGTTGTGAGTAAACGTTTATCTCAGCAGCTGATGTGCAGTGTTACTGGAGTGATGCTTAGAGGAAATATGTAGTAGGCAATATACGTGTGCAGTCGCATAACACATTATTATTTTTTTCTGTACAGGAGGAAGATGATGGAGTAATTCTACTACAGTGTATAGATTCCATTGATGAAAAGAAAGCTTACCTGCTGATTCTCGACGCAGAAAATATGACCGAATTGTGCAGAGCAACAGTGCAGTCTCGTGCAACAGTGCCTATGCCGCTCCACGGACACTTCGTACCCTCAGCCAAACAGTGAATGACTGAGAGACTATAATGAAAGGTGCTAACTCTTGGCCTCCATTTTCAGAGTAGTTTGTACTTTCCATAGTGTTTTTGTGATCATTGAATGTTTTTTTTAATAAGATGAGAGTATTATATGTGTTGTAATGCACCGAAAAATAGTAGATCCTCTATTGACCATAAGAAGGTTGAACGATGAGAGATAATAGATTACATAAAGGTAATTTATTCATGAATATTAGAATGCATTACAATGTTTGCCTTGTGAGAGTTTCTATAAGCTTAAATAATTGCTCAAAGAGATATCTAAGTTCTTGGCTAGATAAGCACAAAGAGATGGTGCAGGTAATAGTGATGATCAGAAAATATTACTAAATTTTATTGCTTTTTCTCTCTGTCCAGACCTACATCTAAATTTATTCCAGGACAAACAAGTCTTTTAAATTATTTAACAATATCAATGCTGGTCTTACTAAGTCTTGAAAGATACATACTTTTAAGGTATTATACATCTAGCATAACAAGAGCGTCATAGTTCAAGGAATATTAAGAGTATATATATATATTTCTATATTTTTACTCTTATCAGGAAGTAACACCTGACTGAGTAAGATAAAAGTGATAAAATTAAGATGAATGAAACGTTTTCTGTCAACTTGGCAAGAATGCTTTTTGTATTCAAATTTGTATTTTTGTTTTTGTGATGATTTGCGGGATTATACTGCTTTCAGTGTGTGAAATATTTGATAGTACTTACAAGTATATATTATGTTTGTATTCCTGTGAGAAAGTATAAGGTAGAGAGTTGAGTATGCTAATGCTTTTCACATGTCTCCTGATGAATATTTAAGAAGAAAAAAATCATACATTCAGAATGAATTTAAATGGACTGATTAATGAAATTCTGTTTAGCTTCACTGCTCTTACAAAATAGCAAATGTTTTACTGATAATGCTGGGGCCAGTTTCAATGAAGAGAAATTACTTTTTTTTTTTACAATAGCACATAGACTAAGTGGGATGTGTTAAGAATGTATTTGTAATCTAATTTTCCTTAAGGGGAAAGTAGGTGACTGGATATTTCTTGCCACAGGTAATATGAAGATAAATTTTAAGAGGACATTTAATTAAGAATTTGTGATTTAAAGAAGTGCAAGACAAATAGTTTACATTCACAAATTATTACCTTTGTGTCTTTCAGTAGAATAAGGTCAGTTAAGAAAAGGAAGTAAGATAAAGAGAAAATATATATATATATAATCTGTTTTGTTGCATATTTCTGTGTATCTCTATTTTGATAATATCAGGAATAATGGATTGCATTTACTTTTTAAAATGTTATTGCTACCTAGTTGTGTGGAATTATGGTAATAAATCTTTATAAACAAATGCACATTTCTGTGTTCCAGAATTACCTTTAATGGCCTCATACACCTTGTGGTATTGTATCGATATTATATATACAGCCTCTTCAGGGACAACGTACTTTGCCTTAATCATGCTATGCTAAACTTGTTTGAATGTGGCAGTAGTGAAGACAAATCATTGTTTCCATAATAAATTTCATATAGAGGACGTTAAGCAGAGTATACTGAGGATTATCATATTTTCATTTAAGGAGTTGGAGGATATACCCCCCAAGCCTTGCTCGTTGTTGTGGGGGGAGCTAAGAGACGGAGAATGAGGCCCAAAGTTGGGGATCACCCCAACCCTCTAAATTATAGACCAGTTTTCGTGACACACAGGTCACATGATGAATCAAAAAGAATTATACACAGAAGCCTATATGACTTAACACCCTCTAAGAGTGGATGTTGCATCAGAATTCCATCTAGATGGCTTGATGCAAAATAAGAGTTTAAAACAATATTAAGATATTTTCCCATGTTCAAATAAATTAAACATGAAAATTACTGAAACCATCCTGGTGTGAACTGATATGATGTGGTAGGCTGATCGTCATCGCTACGGAAATTTCACCCGTGTCACGTCAGCTGGTGTTCGAACTGGGCATCACCAAAGGCAGAGCCGTAGTCCCATAGAGTGAATTTAAACCTTTATCCCTGCGCCACACTCACTATGTACTGTATAATTTTCAGATAAATCAAGAGTACAGGTTTAACGTCGCATTTTCTTAAGTTACATTTTCTATAAAGAGAAGCGGGTGCATTTTATGTTGTTGAATGATGTTACATTATTGGCTTGGTAATGTATTTATTGTATATTGTTTTAAGCAGTGTAATAAAAAGAAAGTAATACTTGGAATCTTATAATCACCAGACTGTGATCCTACGCAATGAAACTGTAACCTAATATTTATCCGTTTATGATAGAGTATGGACCAATTTCATTATTTATATCCGTTTTCTTTACCATGTGATGTTTAGAGAACCTTAGGAATGCTGCTACGGAAAAGCGGCCAATCCAGACGTGGAGTATTGTTGACCGTCTCTTACCCGTTGCTGTCGGGTGAGCGGGAGGTTAGGAGACGGAGACTGGGGCCCATTGTAGGGGATCACCCCTGCCTTGGGCCTCACTCCTCGCCTCAACTATTTTTGCATGGTCTTTTCTTCTCTAATATTTATCTGTTTATAATAGAGTATCCGACCACTCCCTTCTCGTTGTTTACAGACGACTCTATCCATTCCGAACTACCACCCAGGTCATTAGTCAACGATCAGAATGCACCCTATCCTCTCCCAACATTCTCCACACCATCTACTGCACAGTCTTCTTCATTGACAAACCCCTCCCCCTTATTACTACAATTCACCCTTATTGTCCCCCCCCCCCCCACCCACCACAGTAGCACTTCACTCTACATTACCCCGTCTTCCTTCCGCCCTCGTCCTTCTAAAGCTTCCACCTCTAAAAACCTTTTGAGTATTCCCTTTGGCGCAGAGGCACCTCTGGGCCAAAGGTGTCTAGGTGGGGCACCTGCCTCCCCCCTGCAATCTGATTGGCCACCCCATGTGCCCCCGCTCAATGGTCATTGACTCGTCGTAATGGCCCCTTGTATATATAATCTGGCGGCCTCCCCAGATTTATTGTTGTTACCCCTTGTGCCACCCACCAGAAAGTTCTCTGGACCTGCTTTGGCCCCCCCAAAATGGGTTCAATTCTTTGTGATTCCCCCCACAGCCCCCTCCCCTTGACAATACCCTTCTCTTCCAACAAGGTCTCCAAAAGCAGTAGGCAAAGTCCTCTTTCATAGTCGGTCCGATCGTCCACGCCGAGTCAGAGTTACATCTGAATCCCATGCTCGTGCACTATCTACCCTGACTGACCTCACTGGCAAACCGATTCCTCCTCTCTTGATATTCTTAAAAATACTGTTTCTGTCTCCCAGACTGATTGTCCCATCTACAAAAACTGGTCAGACTGAAAATAACCCATTTGCCTACTTTGCTGATTATGCTGCAGTGGCAGTTTAGTGCTACGCCATTCCTCCCAGAGGCCAACGTAAATCCCACACTAATATTGCCAAGATTAGTTTTAGCAGACATGACCCTCCCCATGAAGTTCATATTGGTGGAGTGTCCTGTCCTGTCTGACCATATCGATCTCTTCCTCGTCAGTGTCAGAAATGGTGTTTTGGCCACTCAGCCAAACACTGTTGCTTCACAGCCCGCTACCCTCAATGTGCCCAACCTGGTTATGACAGTTCAAATTGCTCTGCTCAGTCACGTACATGCGCCAATTGTGGTGGCTCTCATAATGTATATTATACGAGCTGCCCTGTTCGGCTGAAATGCGAGGAAGCAAATGTGAGGTTTTTTTCTCTACCTATTCCAGAACCGTTCTTCGCTCTGCTCCTTTCTCATCTTCTCAAGATGTCTCAGCATCTCCCCCAGTATCCCTTCCCTCTACCACGAACCATCCTAGCTCTGCTCCTCCTCTTCCCCAGTCAAATTCCTTTTCCAGTCTAAACCCAGATACTCCAGTCTCTACCAATTCCCGATACCTACCTCTCCTCCTCGCTTTACTTGTAACAACAGGCAGCCTAAACATTCCACTCCATCTTCTTCCTTTCCAACGGGCTCCTCTTCCTCTGCCCCTCGGATATCTATCTCCTCTTAAGAGAACCTTTGTCTCCCCATTATCCTTACCGCTCCCACCTGAATGCTCACGTGAATCCCTTCTGTTACAAGTGTCCTTCTCCAGACTCTTCCCTTCCTGCTACTTAACCAACTTCCCCAGTCTCCTTTTCTTACCCCACGTATTCTTCTCCTACGTCGCCAACAGCCATTTCTGTTTTCCTTGAACAATGTCCCTATTCCTTCCCCAGTCACAGATACACTCCGTTTCATTCAGTCACCCTAGTTCTTTACCCCTTTCCTTTTTTTACCAGTCTCTGCTTTACTTCATTTGCCCCCCTCTTTACCCTTTCCATTACCGTATATACTATCCTATAACGTTCTCCAATCTTCGACGTCTAACCCATGTTATCCTAATCTTTATCTCTTCTTTACCCTATTTCATCACAATACCTCACCACTGTGCTATATGACCTTTGATATCTAGCACATTAATTTGTTTCAACCATTAACCATTACATGCAAATTGCAAATTTGATTAATGCAAATTGCAAATTTACATTACTTGCAAATTGCAAATTAGCATTACTTGCAAATTGCAAATCTGATCCAAATTGCAGGCATTCCTTGTGAGATGATCATCAGTGTTGTTGGCAAGACGTTCCAATTGGGAGGAGATAGACGGAAAGTGCAACACCTATGAATTCACATTGGCTGTCGCCAGTTGACTGAGTACTTGTGGGACAACTTCTTTTGTGTGTGCAGTGTGTAATAAACAGTATGCAGACCGGGAAATGAGGGCATAGAGTTCAGACTATGAGTGACATATCAAGCCATTGTCTCTGGCTCGTGGTCGTAAAGTTACAGTCCATTTAGCTCGCAATCCGTTGCGATGCAGTGAGAGAAGACGACAGTACTGCGATGGTTTCACTGGCACTTTGTTTTTGGAGCTGAGGAAGATCAGTCTTGCAGAATGAGGTGTACGAGACTAGTGGTATGGACATCCGCCAGGGTGGGAGGCCGGGTTCACATTCTTTACCAAACCGTTCTTCGCCCCATTTCTGACTCAAGACCATAAACACATCAAAACCGCCTCCTTCCTCTCTCAATTCATCTCTTCACTGTTTCTCCTTCCTTTCTATACTGTGTCTTCCTCCCAGCAGAAGTCTCTTGCGTGTGTCTGGGGGGCGGGGGGGGGGGGTAGCGCGCCGTCCCGCGTCTGTTATAATTGTTTAATTGCGTTTTTTCAACTTCGATAGTGTTTACATGTGTATGCTGCTTACGTGCACCGCCGAGGCTGTGAAACAAACACGTACTGATGTCACTAATGCAATATTATGCCATACATTGCAGAAAACTAATCGCCCGTAGAGTCCAATATTCTGGTAGCGCTAATCTTATCAAATAGTTCACACATTTTGCGGTGCGCCGACTGACTTTCGTAGCTTGTTCCTCACTTTGCCTTGCTCGAGTGTCTTGCCTTTTACAGGTGACTGTGCTAGATAATCAAAAGTTGTGAGAGCATTTTTTTTTTTTGCTGGACAGGGTGTGAGTAATTATATTCATTTTCTTTTTTTACTTGAGGTTGCTGATTTGATGCATGCAACATTTATGCATAATATTGTATTTCAGTTATAATAAACAACTTGTCTATCATCATGTAACTACCATCACCATCCTATCAAGTGCATTTTCATTTTGAAATAATGGAGTAAAGTTGATAGAAAAGAAAGAACACAATAGATATGAATTTGAATGATAATTACTCAAAATTTTGTTTACAGTAGTATTAAATATTGTAATCCAAGATTAATAACTAGTGTGATGAGTCATTCTTTGCTTTCTTTACTATAAAGTTTTAAGAATCATCAAGCAGGGAAATGTATTAGTAATCCTTATATTAAATAATCTTGCAAAACTAAATTACTTTAAACAATAATCCAAAACAAACTATAGCTTCATTGATATATGTTGAAAATTATTTATATCAAATATCTGCTTTTGTTATACATCAGAATATTTATTAGTCAATATTTCAACAACGTAAGCAAAAATCATAGGTAAAGAAACTCAGTAAATAAAATAAAACCTTTATTTAACAATAGCCAAAATAAACAAAGATGCTGATTGTCTTCAAATGTCATACTCTCCTGATACGAATAAACTAAATATTCAATTCCTATTTGAATATTTAGCATATCAGATTATGCATAATAATCACTCAACACAATGCAGAGAAAGAATTGTCCTCAAGCTAATAGTAATGCCATATGTTTTTTTATGCTTAATACTGATGTCCCAATATACAAACATTAATTATAACATGATAACAAAGCCCTCACGGATGGCTCCTGTAATATTATGTGTATGGGTGAGGACGATTCCTTCACTATTGTGGCATGGCCCTTCATTCACACATGCAACTCCAAGAGTCTGGCAAAGGAATGAGCTTATAATAAATAATAAATAGTAATTATAATAAATAGTAGTTGGGTAATATCAATAATATCAATATCTGGCGTCTTTCACACACATGCCCACATGCGGAGGTAGAGTACTAGTGCAGATACGGGCAATAACAAATGCCCATCTGTCAGTGTTGCATGTTTATCTCTAACCTGTCTGTGAGGAATTATAAAATGGGGGGGATGCAACATAAAGCTACTACATAAAACTAATAACTACTGGTAAATGCTGTAGTTGTAAGATATCTCTGGTACGTTTTAACAACCTAGGAAGAATAAATACACACACACACACACACACACATAAGGCCCCTTATGGTTTTCTTTATTACCTGAACCTACCATAAAAACTGTAATAAACAAAATAACTATATATTACAGTAAAAGAACAATTCACTAATCAAAACAAATTAACTTACTAAAAAATGTAGACTTGTATATGAAGTAACACTGCAATTTGGTGCATGTTAACTTACATTTAGAAGCACCATGGTGAAATCTCCTTTTAATAGAAACAGGAAAATTTACCGCTTCAATTCAGCATGTGAAAACCATAATGAAAAACAAACATCAAAAAAATATTTATTATTACAAGAGGGTTCAAGACCTTAAATCAT